GTGCTATCATGCCTTTGTTGTGTGTCACGCCCTGACTCCGGCAGTCCGGCGTGCAGCAGCCTGCCCGAGCGGAAGCCTTATCACTGCGATTTAACGAAGACTGCTTTGTTGGGCCTGTCTCTTTTGGATCTTCTCTGAGACTAGCCCGCGGCTTCATGACAGATCCTACTTTGCACCGAAAACTGAGGCCGGAAAAGCGGCCATTACCCAATAGATCGGTTAAGGCAAATTCCTAACTAATAGGCAATAGTTAATTTTGAGCATCAAAATTAACTATTAGTTAGAAATGGTGAATTAACTAATAGTTAATTTTAGAGTTAATTTTAAGATAAAATTTTTTAACTAAAAATTAGTTAATTCTGTGGAATTAACTATGGAAATTAACTTTTTTCAATAGCTGAAAAGTCATGAAATTGATCAGAAATAAGCATGAAAATCCAGAGCCAGGATGCATACACAGTAAGCATGGTCGTATCGTGGCCTCCCTTCCCTGGCCCTTGCCCTGCAGTGCGGGTCACAACCCCAGGCGACGGATTTGACACCGCCTTAATGCGGGCACCGCAGGCCCATGAGTCACGACACCCCTCTTCTTGCCTTCCGCCTGCAGATTAGCACCCCAGCGGGCACTTTAGCTCATCGTCCCGCTGTCATACCCCTCGAAAGGGGCGTTGGCTTCAAGGTGCCTGGGCCGCCCTGTCACCCGGCCAACGGTAACACACCGACCAAAACCCACAAACCGGGAAGTCAGTGTAGGTAGGGCTGAGAAAACTCTGACAGCTCAAAGTTTCGCAGAACAATAACCATGTCGAGAGCTCAAACATTCGCACCAGTGTGTCCATGGTGTGTGTATTAGCTCAGAAAAGGTTTAGGGTTATCAAAAACTGCAAAAATAACCATGTGGAGAGAGTGCACATGAAAGCAAGCATCATCATGTCTCATATAGGAGACGTGCATCGGAAAGTAACCATGTGCAATTCCAAAGCTTGAACCCCAGACCAAACATCCTTGAATGTCCTTGAAGCTGTGTTTGGGATTCATGTGTGGTTGTGTTCCCGTGTACGGTTTTGGGTTTAGGGTCGTTCTTGTCAGAGGAGACTTGCATCCCACAGTAACCATGGCAACTCCAAAAAACTTGAACCCCAGACAGAACACCCACGAACGTCCCTGAAGCTTGGTTTGGATTTTTTTTGGTGTTCAGGTGTAGGATTGGGAAGCGGGTCGTCCCTAAAACTCAACCCCAAAAACCCATCCCACTGTAACCATGACAAAAGCAACAAGCTTGAACCCCGCAGTGAACAGCCTTGAACACCCTGGAAGCTTTGTTCGGATTTAGGGTTGTTTGGGGTCGTCCCTAAAACTCAACCCCAAAAACCCATCCCACAGTAACCATGACAAAAGCAACAAGCTTGAACCCCACAGTGAACAGCCTTGAACACCCTGGAAGCTTTGTTCGGATTTAGGGTTGTTTGGGGTCGTCCCTAAAACTCAACCCCAAAAACCCATCCCACAGTAACCATGACAAGTGCAACAAGCTTGAACCCCGCAGTGAACAGCCTTGAACACCCTTGAAGCTTTGTTCGGATTTAGGGTTGTTTTCACGTGCAGGATTGGGTTTAGGGTCGTTCTTGCTACTCCGTCTGAGAGGAAAAAGAAAAAGTAACCATGACCAAGTCTTCGAGTGGAAAGAAAGCGCTTGTGTTTTCACTCAACGGACGACAGGTGCAGCCCCATCCCTATTCGCCAGTGTTCCAACATCTTTGTGTTGGCAGCAGCAGCCTTTGTGCCACGAACGCAGTTTTGTGCCACCTTGCGAGTGATGCCCATGAAGTCCTCATTGGCGAAGCACCAAACCAGCCTGGGATTTACAGTGCCAGCCAACAGTGCACTGTGCAACACCATGTGCAGCTTCGCAGTTGTGTGGCAGAGCCAGGGGCAGTCTTCTTGCTCATGGAAGTGGTCTGCCACGAGTCCATGCAAGTGAGCCATCTGGAAGGCTGCTGCCTTGAACTGGTTCGCCGCAGCCTGGGGGAAGAAGTCCTCATCGCGGTACTCGTCCAACAAAAGCTCCATCGTGCAGTTGGTCTTGAGCATGGCGAGGATCATCCTGTGGAGCTGCAGTTGCCCGTTCATGTATTTCTCCCAGAGGTGCAACATGGGCAGAGCCAGGCCCTTGACTTCAGCTGCTCGTCCCCGAAGCTTGGGGGGCCCGCTTTTGCGGACGAACATCGTGAGTCTGTTGAAGTAGGCATAGCGATGCTTCACACCGAGAAGCCGGTAGAGCTCTTGGAGCTCACTCCAAATTGTGAGGAGATTGGCTTGGGGGGTGTCCGTCATCAAGTAAAAGCACATGTAGTAGAAGAGGCCCCCGTACACGTACATGTCCGATCCAAGATATTTGCTATGCATATAGTCCACTGCAACTGTCGCTCCAGACACTGCAGGGATGTCGAACAAAGGGCATTTGCTCCTCTCAGGAAATGCCCTCCAGCTCGCCGGGCGCCAGCAGAGCCCGACCCACGGAGCAGTCTCTCGGAAGTTTCTCCAATTCATGGCAGCTCCTGAGCCGGTTGCAGGGCACAGGGGACAACAGTTCTCATTGCTGCTCCAGCGTGGGAGAGACAAAGATTTGGCGAAGAATTCTAAGTCCCCTTGCAGGCAGACAAGGACTCCACAGAACCCATTGGCCAGCCAGTCGCCAGCCTTTCTTGCAGGCACAGAGCCCTCTGGGAACCTTTGCTGAGCTTTGGTTGGACAGATGCAAAAAAGCGCCAGAACAGTATACAGTAATCATGGCAGCAGACGAATACAAAAGAAAACTTGGGAGCAGGAAAAAGTAACCATGTAGCGAACCCTCGTAAATATTCATATGGCAACAAAACCATCTGTGTATATATACATAGATATATATATCTATCTTAATCTATATATACAAACATATTTGACTGAAGAAAAGAATACTTTATGCGGCCAGGCTCGGTCTTCCTTTCCAGTCGTGGGAAGGCCACTTGCCGTGGTAGAGGGCTGTAAAGGACCACTTGAGGATCCGAAAGAAAGTCTCCAACGTCCCATTGTCACCGGCGACAAGAAGCTGCTCGAACACAGACCAGACCAGGAACAAAGTTGCCTTGCTGCCGCCCCTGCAGAGCATACAGTGCCAGTTGAAGGTCTGCAGGAGCTTGGCCCAAACTTTGCCCAGGCCAGTGGTTGGGACGGCATCGCCGTGTAGTGCCAAAGGCAAGCAAGTTTTTCTGAAGTCATCTTTGTCAGCCAATGTCCCATCCGCCATACACGGATGCTTGTCGAAGTGTTTCCAGAAAGCCTGCAAAGCTGGAACCCCACCAGGTAGAAAGGAAGCTTGCCAGTACCCTGGATAGTGGTGGTAAAGTGCCGAAAAGACTTCGTGCGGCAGCATGAAAGCTTGAGCACTTTGTCCAGTCTTGAAGGGCAGGACCTCTTGAAACGGCCTCGGCAGCTTGCATTTGCCAGGCAGATAAGCCATCAGGTCCCTGTGGCAGTTGTTTGAGTGGGCCCCTGCAGTGCCTATTTCTGCAAGCTTCTTTAGGCGGCCCGGAACATCGCTCTCTGTCAAGCCAGCTGCCAACATGTCCTTCTTCGTCAGAGCAGCTATTCGCTGGACTTGCTGCGGCGTCAAGTCCCCCCATGCCCAAGCCTCCTCAAGGAATTGTGCCAACCCAGAATCCGCAGTAGAAGACGTCGCCGGGGTTTCCTCGCGAGCCAGCTGTTGCAACCGCTGTTTCTGTCCTCCTTTTCTTCGTTTCGGGGGTGGGACGTCGTCATCGTCCATCATCGCTCTGTCGCAAACGGCTACGGAGATTCTGCACACTGTTTTTTTTTGGTTTGTACCTGAAAAAGCTTTTCTGTGGGTTTAGGGTCTACTAAGAAACAACTTTTCCTTCACCTCAATTAAGAAACAGAACAGAAACAGACCTCTGAGTCTGAGCATGAGGGTCGCGAGACTGTTGCTTCTTGACCACGGAAGAAGAAAGCAATCATGGCAGATGCACTCCAGAAAGAAACAATAATCAAGCACAGTCGTGTATACACAAGAGAACAATAAACATGGCAGGGTTTACGGTTTTTGTAAGGAGGCCATCACATATGCACAGAGCACAGTGCATAACCCCAAAATAATCAAGCACGGCTTTGGACCGCTGGAAAATAAACATGCCAAAGCGGAATAATCATGCCAAAGCACTACAGAAGCGATTGCAAGTCCATGTGATAAAAGCTATATTGAGAAAAGTAAGCATGCCAGCTGCACACACAGCAGTCTAATGGTCGCCACCGACACTTGACAGCACATCTCGCTCATTTTGGCGCCCCGGCTCTTGTCCGACTTTGTCGCAGGGAACTTCTTTCTGGCCACCCTCTTCGAGGCTTTTTTGACCTTGACTTTTTCGCAGTTGTGAAGACCTTGACTGGGTTTTCTGCTGCTGTGCAGAGTAAGGCGAAGTCCAAGGTCTCAGCCTCTTCCCCGGCAGAAAGGTTTGAAGACTACTGTCAGGGACCCCTCTCTTCTCGGACACTTTCCAAAACGCCACCAGAAAGGAGACTGGAGCCCGGCTGTGCGGTCTGTGTGCTTCTGGCGACCAAAAAGCAGACAAGTCTATGTCTGTATACATATGTTTATCAACCCTACACCCCTAAACCCAAACAGACCAGCTCTAGGTTTGAAGCGGGCCCGGCCTTTTGCTACGTGTCTACGGCAACCCAGCCAGTCGCAAGCACAGACACACACAGTGTCTAGTGGCCCGGAGCTTTTCTGTCCTGGCCGAAAGTGGTGAGAAGGCCCTTTTGTTTCTTGAAGCCTTGGAGAGAAGTTCAAGGCAGATCCTAAGAGCCCACTGAGCGCCCAGAGATGTGCCACAGGAAATCTTGACTGAAGTATTAGCATACACATGTTTCTTATCTACATAAAAAGTACCTTTCTAAAGAGTCCTACTCTAGACTTCGGTACATCTCTGTGAGACACAGCGAACTCAGTCAGCCCTCGCTTTAACCACTGCTTTGACCTTCTCCAAGGTCTCGTTGGCTCGATCCGTGTCATCCCCCAGCTGCTGCATGAACTTTTGGACGTTCTGCTTGGAGAGCCCTCCCGGCACTTCCTGGGAGAAAACATTGGAGGGACAACAAAAGAAAACCCTGCACTTTCAAACCTCACAAACTGTTTGTTCTTCCAACACACATGTTCAAACAAATGTTATCCAAAGCCAACTGTCGTTCCACGTCAAGCAGTCACCGCAGACAGAGAGGCTCTTCGCCAGACTGGCAAGCACAGACTTCAGGTCCTGGACCCCGCAGACAAAAAGTCAAGACAAAAGTAACCAAGTTTTCTTGCTATGAAAATAACCATGCAGATTTAGGATCGTGACATAAGGATGGGTTGCTTGCCTGAGACCACTAGAACCAGAACAAAAACTATGAGTGTGTCTATGTCTACACAGGCTTTAGGGATTAGAAGAGGGGTTAGGACTATGTGTGGATCTCCTCGGACAGGTCGTTGTCCCCAAGAACCTTGACCTTGGAGACGTAGCGCTGGGCGTCCCTCTGGAGCCTGTCGAGGGCCTGCTTGGCCTCGGTCAAGTTCGTCTCCACGACTTTCCACTTGACCTCCACCTCCACTGCTGGCTTGTCTTGCAGAGCCAGCTGTCGCTGCCCACTGGAGCTCCCCGAGGACAAAAGGGCCTCAGGGCCGGACTCCCTGTTGGTGGCGGAGTCAAAAGACTGGGAGCCCTGCAAAGCCCAGGGCCTGCCACTGAAGAAGCTAGTAAGGGTGTCAAACTGGTCCACGGTCAAAGCAGCACAGCCGCCACTGAGCTGCTGTGTGTCAGTCGAGGTCTTGGTGCGGCCTTGCCTCACAGTCAAGGTGTGGTACAAGCCGCCTCGCTCGTACACGTCGCCACGGTTCAGGGCCGTGGTGAAGGCCTGCTCGTTGCCGTGGAAGACCTTCCACAACATGACGGAGTAAGTCTCCCCCGTGCTGTAGCCCTCGGAGAACTTGGTGTCCGTGTTGGCTTTCCACGACTGAAAGTCCGGGCTCGTGGTGCACATCGTGTAGTTGCCGCTCCTGAGACCCAAGCAAGAGTAGCCATGCATAGCCAACTTTGGACGGTTTCAGAAGACACCCGGAACAACAATCATGCATGCTGCTGAAGACACAGAAACGTGAAAGTAAGCAAAAGGGTCGCAGCAGTCATCGTGGATGCAGCAAGGACACCCGGAACAATAATCATGCATGCTGCTCTTTTCAACGAAGACACACAGAAAAGTGAAAGTAAGCAAGGGTCGCAGCAGTCATCGTGGATGCAGAAAGCACACCCAAAAGAGTAATCATGCCAGAAAAAAATCTAGGACCCAAAAACCAAACCATTCCAATTGCAGGCAAGGTTCTTGTTGACCTGAAACAATCTATTGATCAATTCAGTTTTGAAGAGCCTGGGGTTGCTCTGCTGGTCCGCGGACTCCCACAGCTTGCGAACGTCTTCGGGGACGTTGCCGGCCTTGAGCATGCGAGACATTTTTCTCGCTTTCCCGTAGTCGCGGACTTCCTTTTCGTCCGCCTCGCCCTCGTCGGTCTCGCCGCCCTCCTGGTCCTCGTCGTGGCCCTCCGCTTCCAGCACACGTTTGCTCCACTGCCTGGTCACACTTGCAAGCTTCTTGTTGCCCTTGTTCTTCTTGCTTTCGTCGTTGTTTTTGCCCTCCTCGTCCTCGGCCTCCTTTTCCTCCTCCTTGCCCTTGCTGCTGGGCTTGCTCTTGGGCTGTGCTTTTGCCTTCGCACTGCCCTTGGCAGCTGCTTTTGCCTTGGCCTTGGCTTTTCCTTTTGCCTTGGCCTTGGCCTGAACCTTCGCCTGGGCCTTAGCCTTGGCCTTCCCCTTGGCCTTTGGCTTCGTTGGGTTTTCCTTGGACTTCTTGTCGACTGCCTCCTCTGCCGAAGCCTCCTTCTGCTCAGGAGTCTCCTCTGCAGGCTCAGGCTTCTCGGAAGTCGTCGGTTTGCCCATGGCGAAAGAGCAGACAGGGCAAGGAGAGAGTGGGGCAGGACTTGTCCACCTCGCTGGTGGTGACACGTCTCGAGGGCCCTTCAAAAGAGCAAAGCTCTGCAGATGGACAGTTCAATGTCGCTTAGCAGCAGACAGACACAGAGTAATCATGTTGAACAACACCGAAAACACCATCAAGTCTGACAGTAACCAAGACAAGAGCACCCTCCCAAAGAATTAAGTTACTCACAGCTTCTGCGGTGAGACCTAGAAGAACCACTTCTAACCCTGCATGCGACATGCACTTCAAACACTTTCCTAGCATCGCCCTCCGTGGTTTGCGACATCCACGCATGCCAAAACAAAGATGCCACATGCGGCTTCAAACGCTTTCCTAGCATCGCCCTCCGTGGTTTGCGACATCCACGCATGCAATGCCGAACCTAGCACATGCGGTTTCAAACGCTTTCGCAGAGTCGATGATCTGAACAGTAGACTATTATGCCGGCCAAGTAAACGCCGTCCGTCTCATTTATTCATACTATGCATCGAGCAGCAACGGAACCAAAAACTACCGACATGCTGATTCATGCGCAATTCAGGAGTTGCCAGACCTCTGCTTCCATGCTTCGTGTCCTTTCCTAGTCAGAGGTCGCAACCGCACACTCGACACAATGAATGTTGCCTTTTTTGTCCACTTTCTTGGCGAATTGCAGGTATGGAGATGCAGTGTTCTCTCCGCCCGTTACATTCCACAAGAAGAGGACGACGATGATGACCAGCACGAACACAAGCACGAGGAGGACGACGACGACAACGACGACGACAAAGAAAAGACGAGGACGACGAGCACGACACGAGGTATAGGGTTTCTTGCACCAGGACGACCACGACGACGACAACGACGACGACAAACAGAAGACGATGACGACGAGCACGATTGGTACTCAAACACCAACACCGAAACCTTAAGCCAGAAAAACCCAACCCGCCAAACCCCAAACACCAAACCCTCCTTCCCAAACCGCCCAAACCCTCATCCCTAAACCTAGACCCCAAATCCATAAACACCAACTCCACAAAACCCTCTCAAACCCAAACCCCAAACCCGCCCAACCCTATAATATCACCACACCTACACCCCAAATCCTCTTAAACCATGAAACCCTAATCCCGAAATCCCGCAGATCCTTAACCCCTAGACTTCCCTAAAGCCCTGAAACCTGAACCCCAGACCCCCATAACCCTAAACCCCAAAGCCCAGCAAAAAACATCCTAGACCCCAAGTCCTTAAAGCCTACACCCCTGAACCCTGAACCCCAGACCCCCGTAGCCCTAAACCCGAAAGCCCAGCCAGAAACCCCACACATCCCAAATCCTTAAACCCCGAACCATCCAAACCTGGAACCCCAAACCCTATAATCCCCAAACCCCACAAATCCTTAAACCCAACCACGAAACCCCCCTACAACCCAAATCCCTAAATTCTAAATATTAAAGTAATCACTATGTAGTCATACCCACAATAATCGGATTCGTAGTCCTACTCCGAGGAATAACATTATAGTAGTGTGATTATTATACTAGTTAAAGTAGCAGCAGTAGTAACCGTAGTAACCATAGAGTAGTAGCAGTAGTACTAGCCAGAGTAATAGTAGTAGCCATAGCAGGAATAGTACGGAGAGTCCTATAGGAATGCTAGGCAAGTTAGTCATAGTACGATCAGTAATAGTGGTAATAGTAGGAAAAGAATCGTGATACTAATAATGCTTAGAGAAATACTAGTAGTCATAGTACTAGGCCTAAACAATCCCTAACCTAGCCAATAGCGCCTAGGGTTAGGGGTGGGGGTGGGGGTGGGGTTGGGGGTGGGGGGTGGGGGGTGGGGTTGGGGTTGAGGGTGGGGTGGGGTGGGGGTGGTGGGGCGGGGGTGGGGAGTGGGGGTGGGGGTGGTGGGGGCGGGGGTGGGGGGTGGGGGGTGGCGGGTGGGGGTGGGTGTGGGGGTGCGGGTGGGGGTGGGGGTGGTGGTGGGGGTAAGATTTTGTAAGGATTTCTTTTGTTTTTTTAATTTTTTTTGGTTTTTTTTTAAAGATTTTATTGGTTTTCAACAATGCTGATTGCAAGTTTGTTGCAAGTTTGTTGCAAACTTGCAACAAACTTGCAATGGCACATTGCAAGTTTGTTGCAAGTTTGTTGCAAACTTGCAACAAACTTGCAATCACCATTGCAAGTTTGTTGCAAGTTTGTTGCAAACTTGCAACAAACTTGCAATGGTGATTGCAAGTTTGTTGCAAGTTTATCAATTGCCATAGCCATAAGGTATACCAAAACCTATATATATATAGGTAAAATGATTGTTTTCAAACTTGCAATCACGATTGCAAGTTTGTTGCAAGTTTGTTGCAAACTTGCAACAAACTTGCAATGGCCCATTGCAAGTTTGTTGCAAACTTGCAACAAACTTGCAACAAACTTGCAATGGCCCGTTGCAAGTTTGTTGCAAACTTGCAACAAACTTGCAACAAACTTGCAACCCTGATAGTTGAAAACCAATAAAATCTTTTAAAAAACCAAAGATTTTATAAAAAAAATAAGAAACTCCTTAAAAAAATCCTACCCCACCACCACCCCCACCCCCACCCCCCACCCCCACCCCCACCCCCACCCCCATCCCCACCGCCCACCCCCCACCCCGACCCCCCCACCCCCACCCCACCACTCCTAAAGCCCTATACCACGTAAAAACCTAAACCCTCTCAAACCCTGTACCGTAAATACCTGAACTCTTATCACGACCAACCTTGAACCCCAGACCCCAATCCCCAAGCAACCCTGAACCCCTATCCCTAATCTCCCAAACCCCCAAACCCTAAACCCCAAAGCCGAACCCCCCTACACCCCAAATCCTTTAAGCCTGAAATCCTGAATCCTGAACCCTAAATTCCTCAATCCCTAAACCCCAAAGCTCAATAAGAGAAAGTGCTGGACTGACGAGAAACCTGTGGGCCGCTGGGAGACATTGCACAAAATAACCATGCAACTCTACATGCATCTGTCGCATACACGAGAAGTAACCATGGCTCCGACAACAAAGGGACTTAAGTAAACATGGCACGGCAACTCATTGTGGACACACTAGCTTTGCTTGTTTTCCCCGAGCTCGCCATGGACTTCGCTGTGCTGGCTCTCGCCAGGCCCTCGCCATGGACTTCGCTGCTGCCCGCTGCCGTGGACCTGGAATGGCCAAGGCGGTCACACGACAGGGTTTTGTTCCAAAGACCAACAGTAATCATGCAGCACTTCTGCCGAGCAGCTTTTGAAAAAACTTTCCCCTCTTTTGCTCCTCCTGCCACTGGAGAACCTGCCGTCAGCTGCCCGCTGCCGTGGACCTGGAATGGCCAAGGCGGTCACACGACAGGGTTTTCTTCCAAAGACCAACAGTAATCATGCAGCACTTCTGCCGAGCAGCTTCTGAGAAAAAACTTTTCCCTTTTCCTCCTCCTGCCACTGGAGAACCTGCCGTCATCATGCAGCGGACTTTGTTCCAAAGGCACACAGTAATCATGCAGCACAGATCCACAAAGATCGTGTTCTGCCGAGCCGCTTCTAACGGCTTTGCTTTGTCCTTGCCACCGGAGCTCAGGCTCTTTTGCGACCTCGGTCGCCAGTGACAGAGACCCGAGGACACAGACAACAGTAGCCATGCACCACACGCTGGAACACAAACAGAAAAGTAATCATGCATCAGAAAACCAGACACACCCATCTACGATGACAAGCAGCTGGGACTCCGTGGTCGCCGCCTGCCTCTCCGACCTGGGCCCCCCAGCAAAGCTTTCGCAGAAAAGTAATCATGCAACACAGGTCAGGCAACACTTCTATAAAAGGACAAGCAGCTTCTTAAAACAGAAAAACCAGCTTGCAGGCAGGACACTGGCACAAAGGACAGGCACCAGAGCAGCAAGGACAGCTCGGCCGCACTATGCGGCCTCGCTCCATGTACATCTTGTGCCAGCCTGGCCGCCGCTGGCAACTCCCGGTGTGCTGCATCATGCTGCTGTTGTGAGCTAGCTGTGTCTGTGCCGTGACATTTGTGTGTCTGTGTGTGTCTGTGTGTGTCTGTCTGTGTGTGTGTGTGTGTCTGTGTGTGTGCCGTGTGTGCTGTGTGTGCTGTGAGTGCTCTCTGCTGTGGTCCTTGTTTGAAGTGCTCTCTGCTGCGGAGTGCTGTGTGTGTGTGAAGTGCTCTCTGCAATTGTCTCTTTAGAGGCTGTGCTGGTGCTCTCTGCTTTGCACACGGGCCTCAGAAGAGGCACCCCTTTGAGCTGCGAAAAACGGTTGCCGGGTTCAACATGTCTTTCCACAAGCTCCATGAAGTGGACAGTAAGCATGCGGGCACAGGAACTGCTTCTCTGGAAAGTCTCAAAAGCAAGCATGCCCAGACTGCTTCTGCAAAGTGCACTCACAGTAACCATGCCGCAATCAAGCAACAGTAAGCATGCACACCACGAGAACTGCAGAGTAAGCATGCTTCAAAAACACTGTGTTCATGCTAAGTACAAAGAGTAACCATGCCAGAAAATCTCAGCAGGCAAAGTGCCAAAAGTAAGCATGCCGAGCTGCACTTGCTTCCCCGGGTTTCTTCTCTTAGCTTCTCTGGCTTGTTTGGATCTTCGGGCTTCGGGTCTCCTGAAACAGATACAGTAAGCATGACACAAGCTGACGGAAAAGGTGGACAGTAAGCATGCCGAGCTTCGCTTGCTTCTCCGGGGGTTCCTTCCTAGCTTCTGTGGCTTGTTTGGATCTTCGAGCTTCGGGTCTCCTTACAAAAGCCCAGAGAGTTTTTCACCGGAGGCGGGCAGCTCACTCATCCGGCTCGCCCAGACCCCCGCTCAGGTAGAGCCGGATGGCATCATCATCCGGCTCCGTGGAGGTCTCCTCCGTGTCCGCTTCCTCTGCCCTGGGCAGCACGAAAAAACAGAAAGTAAGCATGCTCACAGGGTACATTTTTATAGGGACACTTT